GAAGGGAAAGGTGGGGGAAACCGATCACAGTGATCTATATATACCCCTCCCAAGGGGAAGGACAACAGAAAAGTGGGTGAAGGGAGACATCAGTCAGGGTAAGACATGACAAAATAATTTTTAAATTATCAAGGATTTGGGAGGGAGGGGGAGGGGAAAATGAGCTGATATCAAGGGCTTAAGTAGAAAGAAAATGTTCTGAGAACGATGGCAATGAATGTACAGGTGTGCTTGACACAACGGATGCATGTATGGATTGTGATAAGAGCTGTATGAGCCCCCAATAAAATGATTTTAAAGTAAAAAAGTCTGTGAGTGGCCATCGGAGGTGGAATGGCTGGTCTCTGTTCATGGGGAGCAAAGGAAAATGAAGGAGACCCAAGAAGAAACGAGTCCATCGCTCCCACTGTCCAGTAGGCTATTCCAACTCACAGTGACCCTCTACACAGGGCTTAAAGCTGTGAATCTTTTTTAAAAGATCACTTTATTGGGGGTTTGTACAGCTCATCACAACCTATACATCCATCCATTGTGTCAAGCACATTTGTACATTAGTTGCCATCTTCATTCTCAAAACATTTTCTTTCTACTTGAGCCCTTGGTATCGGCTCATTTCCCACCCATCCTCCTTCCCTCCCTCATGAACTCTTGATAATTTTGATTTTCATGTCTTATACTGACTGATGCCTCCCTTCACCCCTGGGAGGGGATTATATGTAGATTGTGATCAGTTTCCCCTTTCTACCCCAACCTTCCCCTCCTGAAATCACTACTCTCATTACAGGTCCTAAGGGGTTTGTCTGTCCTGGATTCCCTGTGTTTCCAGATCTTATCTGTACCAGTGTACATGCTCTGGTCTAGCCGGATTTGTAAGGTAGAATTGGGGTCATGATAGTGGGGGTGGGGATGTAACATTAAAGAACTAGAGGAATGTTTCCTCAGTGTTATACTGCGCCCTGACTGGCTTGTCTCTTCCTTGTGACCCTTCTCTGAGGGGCTGTCCAACTGTTTACAGATGGGTTTTGGGTCTCCACTCAACCCTCCCTCTCACATTGATATGATTTTTTTGCTCTGGATTTTTGATGCCTGATATGTGATCCCATCAACACCTCGTGATCCCACAGGCTGGTGTGCTTCTTCCATGTTGGCTTTGTTGCTTCTGAGCTAGATGGCCATTTGTTTACCTTCAAGCTGTATCTTTTGATAGCCGGGCTCCATCAGCTTTCTTCACATTTGCTTTTGCACCTGCTTTCTCTTCAGTGATCATGTTAGGGAAGGTGAGCATCACAGAATGTTGGATTAGAACCAAGTGTAAAAACTTGCTTTTAAAAAGGAAGCTCCCCCCCCTATCCCAAATACATTGGGAAAAAAAAAAAAGGGCACTTTCCATCAGGGGCTCAAGTGGGAAGAAAACGCTTTGAAAATGATGGCGGCGTATGTGCAAAGGTGCTTGACACACTGGATGAATGTATGGATTGTGATGAGATGTAAGAGCCTCCAATAAAAGTATTTTTTTAAAAAGGAAGCTTTCCATTAAAACAACGTTACCAAGGGTCCGTGCTTTGGGGGCTACAAGTGGCTTGTGTCCTGCAGCTGCCTTTTTTGGCTTCCAAGGAAGCCTCACTCCCAGGTTCTAGCAGGCTCTCGTCAAAGCACCTCCATCAGGCTCTGCGTCTCTGAGAGGCTGAGGGAGGAGCTCCACCTTGGGCAGGCTGGCAGTAGCCACTAAGCTTCCCTTGCTCCGTCCTGTCGGCGAGGCTCCTGGGCACAAGAATACTGAGTACATCTGGGACAGGACCGGGACAGTTGGTTCTGCCCGGGATCGGAACTGCTCTTGTGATTGGGGTGCAGTAGGGATGTGAATGAGACCCCTCATATGTTTAGCTGTGCGGGCTGAGCCCTTGGTCTTTAGCTGCCCGAGAGGAAGGGCTCATCTGCTGGGCACCTGGGCCTGGTGTGGTCTGTGGTCCAGGGGCTGGAACTGGGCTGGTGATGGATGGAGACGCACCTTCCTTTGATTCTGTTCCTTTAACCCACTCCCCTCCACCCTATATTACTAGTATTAGCTCTGGTACAATGTAGCATATTATTCAAGTTTACCTCCCCAACTGAATAAAAACACAGATAAAATTTGGTAGGTGCTAAATCTTGGTTTTGAAATTTTATTAAAAAAATACATTTGCAAACATATAAAATTTAGAATGAAAAATGCTCATTTTAAAACATGTAATAACTTAATATTTGCAAACATACACAGGTGGTATAAAATCCATACCATCAAAAATGTTAATGATGTAAATTGAGCTCACAGAACAAACTCTTGCTGTCATTTCAGAGCCCCCCCCCCACCACCACCACTTCAGGGAGCAGGGGTTCTGGGCGGTGCCTCACAGCCAGGGCAGGAACAGAGTGAAACACAACCACGGAGAACAGACCCTAAAAACACGTTTCTCGAGGGGCCACACGGTGGGGGTGGGGAGGACACTGCCATCTCAGCATCTTTAATTCAGGAGTTCAAGAGAGAACCACGTCAGGGCTGCACACACCCCTCCCTCCTGCTGGGAACAGCTCCTGGAGCGGACAGGGCCAGTGAAGGCTGCCTGCCTTGCCTCCGAGCCGGCTGCAGTCTGGACTCTTCCCAACAACTCGGGGGCCACGATCACTTCTGGGAGGTATTCTGAACACAACGCCCAAAACCCCAGGTAGGCGGGTGTGTTGGAAACGTGTTCAGCAGTGCTAACCCGGGCCCAGAGGTATAGGGCAGTGAGGGATCGTGCGTGTAAGCAGTTAGGCACCGTCCACTACATGCAGCGTGACGGGGCATTTCAGGAGGACTTCTTTGGGGAGGAGTTGCAGCCGTGTGGTTTGAGGAGGTTCACCTCGCACAGGCTGTGATGGGGTTTAGAATGCTGAACAACACAGGCCCGAGCACACGTTCGATGCGCAACACCCATAGGGACATTTCCTAAATGAAGCCCGTGTGTCCTCTGGCCCAGGAGGAGCCAAGTCAGCGTGGGCGTTGAACAAGACCGCACTGTCAGATAGACAGCAGGCAACGCTTCTCCTGACAGGGACAGCCCTCTGGAAATGCAGGAGGCAGTCAGCCAGGCTGACCCTCACAGCTCAAAGCTCACAGCACACACACAGGACCAAGACCTTCTGCCTCAAAGGAGCACAGCTCTCTGGGAGGGCGCACGAGTCTGTTCAGACAGCAGCCGCCCCACCTCGCCAAGCTCTGCACGGCTCCTCTCCGGAGCCTGCAACCAGCCCTGGGCTGGGCACACAGACAGCAGCCTGAATGCAGGTCTCCATGCGGGACTTGCAGAGAGCCCGGTGCGAAACACCTCCTTTTGGGTGTCCGTTCTGCTCGACTCAGGTTCTAGGACACACGGGGCAGCGTGCAAACAGCCACTGCAAGCCTAGACAGGGAATCAGGCAACTGCACTGCAACTCTCCCGCCAGGGCCCTCGAATTCCGACGGCTTGGGCTTGGCTTCTACATTTCAGAAGCTTCAGATACATAAATCCGGGAATTTCTAGTCTGTGTGACTTGGGCCCTGAAGAGAGTGGTGCCACACTGAGGGACCTACATAACCCTCCTGACTGCACACCCACCCCTCCCGGGATCAAAGGGTGACCATGAATACATCTGCTGCGATTAAGATCTTTCTCTTAACGCTGTCTTAGCATAACATATGCTCAAAACCACATCTCCACTCAGATGTCCATTACAAGCAGAACCTCTCGGCTCTCCTGTTTATAAAGCCCACGGAGACTGCATGAGGTGCAGACTGTTCATCTATGGAACAGTCACAAAAAAAAGAACAGTCACGTGGCTCCCTGAACAACCCCCCCCCCCCCACATCTCCTGTTGGCAGCAGCGTTCCCTATCCTGGATGCTGCGTGAACACCTCGTTTTTGGTTGCAGAGTTGAGCTTTGCAAACGAACGATTCCTAATTGAGTGTGAGAACTTAAAAGCTTCCCTGAATTCTGTAGAGTTCACACATGCAACCACCTAGACAGTCACAAAAAGACCACAGAGTTGAGAAGCAGTAACATTCAAGAAGCATGTCCAGGTTAACAAAAACCAGTTGACGTATTCTTAATGCTAAAAAAAACCAAGAGCACAAACTAAAACATGTAGTAATTCATAAGTAATTTTAAAAAAATTTCAGCTAGGAAAATCTATAGACTTATGATTGAGTTACCATTAAAGCTTCACTGACTGCCCCCAAGGAACCACCGCCCTGCCAGCGACATCCATCCCCAGCGAATGGACCAGTTCTTACATAGTGCTCAGAAAAACCAGCCGTGCATGATTTTTGGGCTAGAGACTACAAAATGATGTGCGTTGCAGAAACGAGGGCACTTCCATTCAGAGGGTAGCTTAAAATCACTACTGCTCAAACAAGTCAAACTCTACATTAAAATATCCCTAATCGCCGTCACATGCCATAACAGAATACATACAAATCATGGCAGATTAATAGCAGCATAATGAAGCATCTTTCCATACTGTCACACTTGGGGCCGGAAAGATGCTCACAGCCTAGCAATACATTGGTAAGATTCTGAATGTCACAATTCCTTTCAAACTCCATATTCTACAACGAAGCAAGGGCAGTGTAAATACCAGCTCCTTTGTCTGCATAGCTTTTACAGCGCGTCTCCATATACGAGGACTGGAACCAGAACGGCTCTGTCAGATTGGTCCACTGGTCCTTCTGTCAGCGTGTGAAGGAGAACCATCGGCAGGGACGTAGACTGCGTTGAGACGGGAAGGGCAGGAAGGCTTTGTTTCACACACAACAGCGGAGCGTTGATCTCAACAGGGCAAGGGTGGTCAGGCGGGGTTTGGGCTGCATTAACCCAGCATCCCTGCCTCCGCACCACCACAGGCCACGCCGCCTGCCCGGCACTGTTCATAGTACCGTGGCGAGGGAACCTGCGGCACCGCAGGGCAGAGGACACTGGAAATAAACACATTTGAGAAATCACAGAACTTTTAAGGCCCAAATGGGGCATTTATATAAAATAGACTTCATCTAAACAAATCAAGTCCTAATTTTCCAACTTAAAATCTCTGATCCTTAAAATTCGAAGCTTCTGCAGGCAGGGCTGGCCAACTCCTCCTCTGCACAGAGCTTCCCCGTCTGCTCCAGTGAGTGGTGCTGCCAGGGCAAGCGTGTGGGGCTGAGCGCAGAGCTGCACTGCTGGTGCCGCCTCCCCGCCCGGCATCCTCGGAAACGACAGCCAGCTGCCAAGCAGGCTCCTGGGCTCGATCACAGAGGAGGAAACACCCACTGAACGCAAGACAGCCGTCTTGTCTTCCCGACAAAACAAAGGCTGCCGGTGCTGCTTCACTTGGAAACCATCCGCAGGGAACGAGGCTCAATGCAGGTTGTCCCACGAGGAAGCCTGTGTGAGGTGGCGCTGCGGCTCCGCTCGTCACAGGCTGAGGCCGTCTTTGCCCTTGGTCAGGACCTGCAGGTAGACTTCGTGAAGCGTACTGAGGAAGCTGGAATCGTTCTGCAAGAGATGGCGAGAACCCCCATGTCACCTTTACAGGTCACAGCTCACTCCCCACCTGGGAAAAGCTCAGCACAGACTTGTGTAGCTGCCCGAATACTACCCCCGCCCAGGGACAATCAAAGCCTGAAGACGGTCTCGGCAATTTCCCCCCAGCTCTCTGCCCATCGGCAGTGTATGGGGGGGAGCAGCACTGTTCCCGGCTAACGCTCTGCACTGACTTTACGGAGAGTCTCTCTCATCCCAGGTTGCCCTGATACCCACACACCTTGATCAAGTGTATCAGCGTGTCCTGGAGCTGAGCCTTGCTGAGCAGCACCGGAGGCTTTCTCTGATGCTCTGACGTGCCCACGGTCAGAGGAGAAGGGGAGCTGGCCGTCCTCTCGAGCTCCGTGGACCTTGCGGTGACCTGCTGGAAAGCACTTGGGGACAGCAGCACAGAAGGTGTTGTGGCTGGGGCGCCTGCAACCTGCAGAGGGAGGGCCGTGGTCAGGTTGTACTGATGGGGAGAAGGCGGCCGGCGGCCCAGAGTGGGGATGCAGCAGTGTGAGAGTGAAGAAGAGTCAAATGCTAAGGACTGGCTTCAGGGAGAGGATACTGAAGCTGAGCGTCTAAGAGCTGGCTGTGCGCTTCTGCTGCACGGGAGAATGAATAGTCCGGTGCCAGAACCCCAGCACCCAGGGCTGCTCGGGAAATCAAGCCAAGCCCCAAGGAAGGCACGCGCAGAAAGGCCCAGTCTACGCGGTGTGCCATCAGGTCTGAAAATTACTGAGCATACCGACTAGTACAGTTTACTGTTTTCCTGGCTATTAGTGGTAATTAACCTGCAAACCCATCTAAATTGGGAAAGAGGGAGATATTAATTTCATTTTCAAGAAGTTTTGTCTTTGATAACTATAATGATAGTTTTGGGCCATTTCTAGGATTTTTTGAAACCTGTATATCACTTGGCGAACCACTCCTCAGTCACGATGTGTCACTTCCCTATCCCTCCAGAGAAGGGGCCCTGGGGGTCAAGTGGGTGACAGGTGAGGCTGCCAGCCTCAGGTCAGCAGTGTGAACCCACCGGCTACTCACAGACAAAGACAGGCTTTCTGCCCTTGCGGGTCTCCAGCTGTGGAAAGCCCACGGCAGTCCTGTTCCGCCCTGGAGGCTTGGTGTGAGCTGGCTTGACAACCCCCCACCCCGGCCCCCAAGTGGCCCTGGGCTCTCGGCTCATCATCTCAGAGCACGCTCATGTCGTCCTTTCCCTGGCACCTCCACTACCGATGCTGGTCTTTATCCAACAGCAGGACAGGTCACAGGGGAAGGATAAGACTTAATGAGACAAGCTCGAAGCTGGTTTAGTTTAAATCCCCAGATTCAAGAAGCCTGACTCCACTCACTCACTCACTCACTCACTCACTCACTCACTCACTCACTCACTCGAGGAAAGGCTTTCCCACAGAGGTACCTGCCCACAGAAATGAAATCTGACTAGGGCACCAGGGGCGTGGCCCAGGATGGGGTAGCTGAGGCAGGTACAGGCAAGCTAGAGAGACGTTTTACTCCACACTCCTAGACGGATGGATTCTTCAGAAAGAATGCTTACCGGGATGGCACCGGGTAACCCCTTTGGCTGTGCAAACACGTCCGCGTCCTGGCTTTGCTGCATAGACTGCAAGGTGTAAAAAGGGAAGATGAGCAGGGGTAGCACGGGGCAGGCAGGCAGCGTCCAGATGCTGGTGGGAAAATCTAGGTGGCAATAAGGCAGACAGCAATGCGCCTTCGGTGATCCAGAGGCGGCGAGACCAACTCCTGGTGAGAGTGATGGACTAGCCCCCCTCAGCGCCCCGAAAGGGCGGGCACCGGAATCTTTCGGGCTGCCACACGGGCAAAGAGCGAAGTCCATCGCTCTTATTAAGCTGGGAGTCCCTAGGCAAGTGTCTGTGGCTCCGTCTTCTACAGACAGGAGATTCTGACCAGCATCTGGGTGAGGGGACGTAAACTCTGGACAAGTCATCTCAAGTAGCCTTCCTTCTGTCACATTCCCACACGCTGACTGTGGTCCTCGCTCACGGGGAAAGGCTTGTTGCTGCAGAGCGCACACATCAGAGCTCCACGCAGGCCCAGCCTAACAGTCATGCTGCTTACGTGCAGGTCGGCTCCCGCAGAGCAAAGCAGAGCAGGGAGTGGGCGCGGAGGCCAGTCTGGAGAGGACAGCATTCTGCCAGGCTCTCCCGAAACCTTCCAGACTGCAGGCCACACCTGCAGAGCTACTGGGCCAGTAGCAGCGGGCGCACACCAGGGGGGTGATTGCCCTCTGCTGAAGTGCACTCTCTCCTGCTCTTATGTTGATGGGGCCCTAAGTGGAGAGGCCAAGAATGACAGGGGACTGAGCTCCCCAAGTTCCTGGCTTTCCTTTCTCCTGCACAGGGTTTCAAGAGGAAAGATTCCACTGATTATTTGTTGAAATGTTAGGATTGGAGATTATGTTAGATGGTGGACTGCTGCTACCTGCAAGGTTACCAGTTCAAACCCACCAACCACTGAGGGGAAAAAATGAGGCTGTTTCTGTAAAGAACGTATCTAGGGTCACTCTGAAGCAGAAGCACTGGATGGTGTGGGTAACCCCAACTGGTAAAGTTCTCTGTGAGTTTACATATCTTAGAAACCCACTGCGTGGCAATCTTCAGCCCCGCCCCCAGGCTAGTGCTGTGTCCCACGGACGATGTTTCAGCACCACCCCCGCCGACCCCCTCCCCACCACCGAGGCCCCACCATTGGAGCTGCGCGACTCCCACTGCCTCTTTCCTGCCTTCATCCGACTCCATAAGGGTCCCTTTCGCTCAATGCCCTTTAGAGACTCCTCCCAAGGCTCTGAGGCCCACTACAAAGTCGTGCTCGTCTTCGCTGCCCAACTTCTTCTCGTAAATTCCTCAAATGCCCCCTGGTCCCAGGGCTTTCCCATGCTCCTCGCCTCGGACAGCTCGCCTGGTGAGCCATCCCTGCCACGAGGGATCAGCATCAGTGTCACTGGGAAGCTTCCTTTGGCCTCCACTTGCAGACGTGGGAAGCCTCCCTAGCGAGCCTAGCATGCCAGGGGCACCCAGTGTGGGGAATGGAACCAAGTGTGGGCTCGTCTGGATCTGGGGTCCTGTGTCAGATAATGACTCCTGGGCTGTCAGGCCTGCTCGAACCCAGAACCTGCCCTGCACATCCGATGGGGATGCAAGTCGGGGTGCTTTGTCTGCATCGGAAGTGAACGGAGCTATACACCGTCACTTACCAATTACCTAGTTGCTCACTACAGGGCTTCTTACTGCCCCCCCCCCCCCCAGTGGGGCACACTCAACACGTGTCCACAGGTGTCTCGTCAAACAACTCCTCCTAGTGTCAGAAGAAACCCAGGCTCGTGTGGGTTTACTCCCCTGCCCGGCCCGACGGTACCTGGAAGGGAGAGAGCACCATGCTGCGCAGGGGGGCTGCGGTGGCGGCTCTGGCTGTGGCGGTTTTGGCAGGAGGCTCGGTGAAGCTCTCAGGTGTGGCCAGCTGGCCAGCTGCTGGGGGAAAGCTGGGCGCCATGGCACCTTTCCCAAGGGACTGTGTCTGCAATTGGTCCTGCTGTGGCGTCAACCTGAGTTTCTGGAGAAGATCCACGCTTGCGAGGGAAGCCCCAGCTGAGCCCGTCATGCTGAGGGGGGCCCTGAAGGGGCTCTGGCTGGCTATCAGACAGGGGTGGTTGAGCTCGGGGACTGGCTGGTTGAGGAGAGGAGACCTCTGTCTGGGTGTGGTCTTCACTGCCTGCGTCCTGGCGCTGCTTCGAGGTAAGCTGGGGGGCATCTGGGCATGAGGAGTCTCTGGTGGCAGAGGGGGGCTGAGCACAGGGCTCAGGGGGCTCACATAGCTTGAGGCATGCTTATCACCGGCCTGCGTGATGCAGGCAGGAGTGATGAGCACTGGGGCGGGGCCTTCGGGTGGCACTGAGTGGAGGGGAGTGGCCTGCACACCCAGGCTTTCCATCTGTGGGCCCCCTCCTGGCTGCTCGAAGGGAAAGGGCAGGAGCGTGCTGGGCTCCTTCTGCGAGGCTTCTCCCGGCCGTTTCTCCATGTCCTCTGAATCAAGGCCCACAGCCATGAGCGGCTCCTTGGGCAGAGAGGTTCCAAACAATTCTTCCACCGTCAGATGCTTATGTCCAGTCGGAGCGGTCTGAAAAACAGATCAAACGCCCATGAAGGAGAGATATCTCTTGAAAACCGGGGCACTAACTCCCTTCTCGAGCATCCAGTCTAGAAACAAGGAGGGCTGGGAACACGTTGAGACGGATGTCCCTGGTGAAGGCCAGGTCTTCCCGGGCTAGGGACAGAAATCCGCAATGACAATGCAATCCAAACTTCAGGGACCTGTGCTGGAGCTCACTTCTGAGTGGAGGGGGCAGTTTCTTATTAAAGAGCTAGCTGTGCCCAAGTGCCCCAGGCCAATAGCACACGCAGGAACTAATGCTGCCCGAGAACTGAAAAGTGAGGTGCGGTTGTGCAGCCCGACTCTAAACGAAGCAAGAAGGTCCTGGATTTCTCCATGGAGCCTCTGCTAGCAACACTGCTGCCAGGCTACCAACAGTCTCAGACAGTGCCTGGAAAGTAGGGCGTGGGGCAAAGCCTTTGGGGGTCAGGGGGGGGCGCCTGTGCTGTCAGAGGAGCAGCCCTGGGGGTGCAGGGCTTATGCGGTGGCTGCGATCCGCCGGCAGCTCCATGGGGCCAGCACTGGACTCTACTCTCGCGAACAGGAAACCCACAGGTGGAGCTGTGAGTGAGCACTGACTCAGTGGCTGTAAGTTTGTTTTTTTCATTCAGCTTTTTTTAAAAATGATCTCTTTTCTTTCTTTTTAAAAAAAATCGTTTTATTAGGGGCTCATACAACTCTTATCACCATCCATACCTACATCAATTGTGTAAAACGCATTTGTACATTCACTGCCTTCATCATTCTCAAAACGTTTACTCTCCACTTCAGCCCCCGGCATTAGGTCCTCATTTTTTCCCTCCCTCCTCCTCCCCCCTCCCTCATGAGCCCTTGATAATTTATAAATTAATATAGTAACTGAGATATGTGATTAAAGGATACTGGGATAACAGTGTATTGCTGCTACATTTTCAGTAATTGTGCTTATAAAATGGATAAATATATCATTTCAAAAAATATTGACTCTAGACAGGTTTCTTTTCTTTCTTCACCTCTGGGTGATTCAAAGTTTAACAGTGCGACAAAAGGAACCTGGGTGGGGCGCTGATGCAGTGTCAACCTGTGATATCTCTCTCTCTCTCTCTCACACACACACACACACACACACACACACACCACACACAATGAACAGAAGGGGGAGGGTAAAATTGGCGGCCTTCATCAGCACCACGTTCCCAACGGCGTGTGCTCACTTCATGTCTGTGCCACACATATCCTGCTAAGTTCTCACAAGGTTTCAAACGTTCTCATAAGACTGGCAGGCCACTAAAAGACAAACCAAACTCGATGCCCCCCAGCTGACCCTGGCTGGCAGTGAACCTACATGACCAAGTAGAAGGGTCCCCTGGAAGCCTTTCTGAAGCAGACGGCCTCACTGCCCCTTCTCCCAGGCACGACTGGGGAGTGCGGCTGCTGCCTCACAGGAAGTCACCCTGCTCCTTGGCTCCCTTACGAGGACACAGGACTTTCATATGCTCTCTTCTCTGTCATGGGGCATGGAAGTGAGCCTGCAGTACTCCGAGGCCTGCAGCCTGTAGAGATTCAAGTCTAAGTGGCCCCTTCCTCACACCACAGCATATTTCATTTCTCTCTGCGTGAATCTTCTACCTGGCCGTTTGTTGCACTATTAGACATGTAATACCCTGATTGCACCAAACTCAAAAACAAGCTCACTACCATTGAGTCGATGTCGGCTCACAGTGACCCTACAGGACAGGGTAGAACTGCCCCTGTGAGTTTCTGTGAATTTAACTCTTTGCCAGAGTAGCGGCTGGTGGTTTTGACCTGCTGACCTTGTGGTTAGCAGCCCAACGTGTAACTACCAGGGCTCTTTTTGGACTACACAGGAACCAACAAACCCATTCAAACAGAATCAGGGAAATAATTTCAGCCACTTAAGAACAAACAAACAAAGCACAAATCAACCAGCACCCCGGTGCCCTTGCTGAGTGGATTCTGAAGAGGGAATTTTAATAAAGAAATTGAATTTATCGACATTGAAGTTTGGCAGTTGATTTCCTTTTCAACACTAGATGGCAGCATTGACACACAAATGTAGCGCCTGTACTTGGGGGTGAATTATGGATTTGGGCTAATATTACCAATCACATGGCTTCTGACAATATCCATATTTAGATACCCCAAAGAGTTATCAATTTGCCTGAGAAACGGAGTTTTACAGCACAATGAGAATCTTGAAGGAGTGTGTAAGAACCATCATGGTATCAGAGCCAGCGTCCCGAGGGACCACAAAACCCTGGGTTTCCACACACGAGCAGGGGCTTTGCTGTGAGCTCCTAGTTCCATACGGCGGGAAGGGCTCCCTTCCTTTGGCCCAGTTCGCCGTGCACCTCTGTGAGTCAGGCAGTGCCTGGATCCTCATCTGTCAGTCAGCACGGGCAGGGGAGCGGCGCCTCGTGCTTCCAAAAGGCAAAGCGACTGCTCACTGAACCCCCAGAGCTGACAGCACGGCCCAGAAGGAACCCAGCCTCGCTCCGAACCCACAACAAAACCCCACCCCCATCAGCCCCCAGGGCGGGGAGAACCTCGCTCTGGGTCTCTGAGGCTGCGACTGCTGGTTCACAGCCGCCAAAGTGCAACCACTACACCATCAAAGCACAAAACCCGGTTTGTAAACGCCATTCCACACAGCATCACCTGCCTCTCAATGCAAACAGAGTACAAACACCCGATGCACTGAGCATCTGAAGATTTAACACGTGGCTGCAGGTTAAGGTGAAACGGCCAAGCCATGGGACCGAGCACTACACTCTTGGGCACTAGCCGGAGAAGCAGCACGCGCATCCAAAGAAAAACGGCAACTCCAGTGTCCAGAGCAGCTCCAAGAGTTGACCAGTTAAAGAAAGAAACCACGCCACAGAGAACGACCAGACAGGAGCCATGGAGGCAGCCGTGTGAAGGACGCTCCAGGAATACACGGAGTGAAGAAGGTCAGCTACACTCAACCAGGGGTCCTCAAACTTTTTAAACAGGGCCAGTTCACGTTCCCTCAGACCATTCGAAGGCCAGACTATAGTTTTAAAAAAAAGCTATGCACAAATTCCTATGCACATCCCTGGACGAGGAGAGGCCGCAGCAGTAAACACACAGCGGGCCGGATAAATGTCCCTGCTCTGGAGCCTATCCACTTAGCATTCCTGGAACGGCACAGCTAGAGACCTGGAGAAAACATTGATGGTGCCCAGGGGTTAAGACAGGAGGGGGTGGCATGAGGGAGCCTTGTCACTGTGAAACTATCCTTTACCGCGCTCGACTGTGGTGGAGGACAAACCTCACAGGTGTAAAATCGCACAGAACTAGACCCATGTGCACAGCCGTGCCTGAGGAAGCTGCACATGCTGGATCGAGTTAACAGCTCTGTGATGAGGGCACTGTACAACATTCTGCAGGATGTTATCAACGGGGAAGTGGGCACAGGGGCTTTGGGACCTAGCTGCATATAAATCCATACTCATCTTAAAATAAAGCTTAGCTAGCCAATTAGAGGCTTCATCTGATTATGAAAATATACCTATTCATTGATCAGGCCATCAGTTGTCAAGGGAGCCCATAAGTCAACAAATGGTGACCGTGCTGGAAGGCAAGGGTGCAGCAAACGACAAGCAGACATACTGCCTGTCCCAAGGGGGGCACAAACCAGCCGCTTGTTATATTTTTGGGAGACAATCCACAGGGCAGGAGGTTGTCGTCGTACACGGGGAGCCTACAGGGAGGAGGAGTGTCCTGAGCAGGGATGCCAGAGGACAAGCAAGGAAGGCATCGGGGCGTGGCCGTGGAACCGACCAGGAGGGGCCCCAGGGCACATCTTTCCACAGAGGAGGTGATGGCGCCGCGCCATGCAGATAAAGATTCAGCTCTGGAACTGAAGCGGGCAGGGGGGGACACATGGGTAGTGCCTTTACGCTGCTGTGTGTGTGCACCTGGACAGGTAAGTCAGAAATCAAGCCTGCACTTGGTGTCTCGTTGCAGGGACAAAGCTGGGCTCAGCTGTACAAACCTGGTCTTGTGACCCGGGGGGCAGCTCTTCTAAAGTCTCTGTACTTCCCAGAGTGGACAGCTGAGTGCTCGGTTGCAGCCCAGGGCTGGAGATAGTGGAGTCGCCCATCTGATTCTTTAAAAAACAAACAAGTGTGTCATGTGAAAAGATCGCTTCTAGTATTTGGATAATGTGGCAGTTACATAGTCTCCTGTCAACTTGAGCGAAGGGGTGGAGTCTAGCCTGTCAATCAGGTCATTCATAGCCAACCATGCCTCTGTGTAGGCCTGGCCTTCACCTAAGGATTCTGGGGAACTCTTGTCTTCTTCCTGGAGGTGGGACATACACTCTCTCTCTGCGAGACATCCTGTTGACAAGCCACATGGAGCTACGCTGAAGGAGCCACGTGGAGTCCCATGCCAGCGCTGAGATGCTTCCACGGCCAATGGATCCACAAGACTTTCCACCCACTGGCCTGTGACCTTCCTGCATTTGACATCATTGCATGTGTTGTGTTAGTCTGAAGAGGAATTTATAGACTGGTACCAGACATATGGGCTAATATCAGACTTATGGACTTGATCTGGACTGGGCTGGGATGTTTTTTTAATATACAATTACTCTTTGATCTAAAACTTTCTAATACACATATGCGTGTCTATGAATTAGTTTCTCTACAGAGATAATAAAGCATTTGGAGTTATCAGATGAAGAAAGTAACAGAATAAAAAATCTCAGAAACACCTGCTCTGGGCTCTCATGTAATAATTTATACATGATGAGTTCAGATGACCTGAGGCTTTTTATGACTTCAGACCACTGTCTACTCAGTGATCCCATTCCAAGGAAATCTTCTGAGTGAGCACACCTGTCAGGAGACCTGGTGGTACAGCAGGGGTGGGGTGGGGGGAAGTGGGGCTGTAAATGCCAAGGTCAGCAGTTTGAAATCGCCAGCAGGCAGCTCATGGGGAGGGGGTGGGGCGGGGGCTTTCTGCTACCATAGGCTTAAGAGTCTACTGTAAAAGGGGGCAGTTCTACTCTGCCCCGTAGGGTCACTAAGAGTCAGAACTGACCTGATGGCAGGGAGGGGTTGTTGAGCACCTCTCTGTGCAGCATCACCAATGACCTATAGCAAGGCACCACGAAAAATGCTTAGAATTAACCAGTATTCCCGGAAATATTAACTCAAAGTTCTTAAAACAGAAGGTGGAAATGTTTAGAAACTCTTGATGCACTCTAGCTGGCATTCGGGGAATTGGATATTCCCACTGCACAGTGCAAACATAATCACTCTCAAGTTTTATAGTGTACAGAGCCTTTCAAGCAGTTTAAGGAAAACAACAACACTGTCCACAAAGGTTTAGCTCTGAGGGCTTTTTACCAAGATGGACTGTGAAGTTCTTTTTATTTATTTTTGGTGGTGGGGGTTGTTTGTTCTTTTTTAAAATTCCAACAAGGACTGGGGCGTGGCGGGGGTGGGGTGGAGGCCCAACTGGGGGCTCTCATAGAAATTCTGAGGTTTCTCCCCCCCAACGAGAGAGGAGTCAAGGAGTGTTGGAGGACTCCCATCCACTAGGAGGCCCTTTCTTCCTCTGCAAGTGGGGTGGGCTGCACTGAGTCTTGGGGGCCTGTGCAGTCCCAGGATGGGGCCCTCCCTGTTGGCTGCAGTCCCCGGCCGGCCATGCTCCTGGGGTCCTGTGTCCTATGTGCCCCTCGCCCGCAGTGGCGGGGTGGCAAAGTTCTTAACAGATTTAGGGAAACCAGGGCAATGTTGTGTAAATTCAGAAAGGAAAAATACATAGCTATTAATAGTTTATAAAAACTGTTCTTTCTGCCACATGAACTTTCACGTGGAGCTCCCGTGGATAGATGCAGGAATGAAACACAGAGAGCAGCAGAAACACTCCAGCTGATGGGGCCCCAAACTGCTCATCAGCCCACCTCTGCCGAATGTTGGCCATGCAGGTCCTGTGCAATCAGGGATGCTTTCAGCAGATACTGCTCCAGGGGCACAGAACGAGCTAAAAGGGTATTTTACTTAAACTGATATACACCAATATACCCTAAACATTTGGTCGTTCACTTCGAAGAATAGAGAACATATTAGCTGTGACTATTTTTAGGGAGTAAAATGAGATTTCTCTTCCTTTTGTTCAATGTAATTTTAAAAATATGTTAATTTAAAAATAGTTCATCATTGTTGCTTATAAATTTGGAAAATGAATGGGTGTTACTGTTTTCAGGAAAAATAAAACCCCAGTTTTTCTTGCATTTGAACAAACACAAACCAACCCCTGCAGGAGTCTGGATTGACGCCGTGTGGCCCAGGGGCTCCTGCCGGGCTGCTAAGCTCAAGGTCAACAGTGCAACTCCTTGGACTTCAGGGAGAGGAAGACTGAACCCACGGACAGCGGAGCATCTGATGCCACTGCTGAGTGAAGGGGAAGGTGACAACGGTGATTCTGCTGAGACAAAGCTCAGCAGGAGCCCAGCAGCCTCCAGGGACCCATGGCGAGTTCAGACAGAAATGTTTCCCAGCCAGAAGGCTTTAAAACTCACTGCTTGAATATATTTACATATGTACATGTCTGTATTTAGGCTTGTATATATGCCCTTTGCCTCCTACTTCTTTCCTCTATTTCTTTGCAGCTTCCTTCTGTCCCAATACCATGATCAGTCTTCATTCTGGCTTCAGTAGTTCCTCCGGTTGCCTTGACCTTGGTCACTCCCTACCAGTCCTCCCATCCCCTCCCTACCGTTGGTTTTGAACCATTTGTTGTTCCCTGTCCCTAGGTTGACCAACCCTCCTCCCTTCCCCTACCTCCTACACTCCCATGTCCCTCCGGGGCCATCGGTCCCTTTATTTTCTTCTTATATATATATTTTTTTGTCCAACTTCTCTTATCTAGGTGGGTGTACAGA